AATTGTTCTATTAGTCACTGCTCTCAAGATTAAGAGAATAGCGCTGTAATTAAAGATTGGGTAATAAAGGAAAAACGTTATGAAAGGGGTGGGCTCTAAGGTAGGAATTTCATCTAAGTATGACCTGGATAAATGTAAGGGCAATCCAAGTGAAGGTAACAAAGAGAACAAAAGAATGAAGAGAAATCGATCAGGAGACTAGAGAAATGATACTTCTACAGTACAGGTTATATACTAGGGAGGAAGGATGTCTCAACTGCCTGTCTGAGGTCTGAGCTTCTGTCAAGGCCATGGGAACCCATGGAAGTGGTATGACCAATATGATGTTTAAAGATGTTGGCCATAGCCCTAACTGGTTTGGCTCAGTGGATAGAGCGTCGGCCTGCGGACTCAAGGGTCCCAGGTTTGATTCCGGTTAAGGGCATGTACTTTGGTTGCGGGCACATCCCCAGTTAGGGGGTGTGCAGGAGGCAGCTGATCGATGTTTCTCTCTCATCGATGTTTCTAACTCTCTATCCCTCTCCCTTCCTCTCTGTAAAAAAATCAATAATATATATATATTTTTTAAAAAGATGTTGGCCATAAATAAGCTAAATCAGAGAGGGACTAGACACAGGGAAAAGAGCAGTGGGAGAACTATGAGGCAATAAGGGCCTAAACTAGACTGGTGCTTGGAGGAATGGAAAGGAGGAGACATAGTTTATAAATATTTTAAATCAAGCATTAATAGAGCTTAGGAAGTAGTCTCAGATATTTTATTTGAACCTGGGAATCTAAAAGAATTAAAAGGCTTAGAAAAAGTTAGTTTTGATGGAATAATTGGTAGTTTACTTTTAGCCATAGGGGCCTTTATGAGGATTGCTGAGCACCCAAGTGGAGGCATTCTTCAGGCAATTAGAAATGTAAAGAGGGTCGCCAGGACAGTGTGGCTCAGTAGCTGAGCATCAACTCAGGAGGTCAGGGTTCGATTCCTAGTCAGGGCACATGCCCAGGTTGTGGGCTTGATCCCCAATAGGGAGCATGCAGAAGGCAGCCGATCAATGATTCTCTCTCATCATTGATGTTTCTCTCTCTCTCCCTCTCCCTTCCTCTCTCTGAAATAAATAAAAATATGTTTTAAAAGAAGAAATATAAAGAGGGTCAACAAGGTCAGTGGTTAAGATTTATAAAGGAGAAAATGTGAACACTGGGAGACAATACTAAAAATTCTACCGCTAGGCAAAACAAAATATTAGACCTAATTCTCTAATACAAGTAAACAGTATTTTGAAAATATGCCATATATATATATATATATATATATTTAAACTCTTTCAGGGGACCAGCATCTTAAATGACAATATGCCATTCCTGAGCATTTCGCAGAGGCTACCAACTGCTATTACATTCATGCAAGCTCACAGGGTCAACCCCACATCTACCGTTAGCATCTATTACTTTTATAATCACACAAAAAATGTCATTTAAAATATTTTGTAAAACTGGAAGAATAATGTGTTGAGTTATTCATTTGGTACTTTGTGCCATTTTACCTAGAGGTGCTCTTATTGATACTCAAAGGATATAAAATTACTGTGATAGACTACAGGCTAAGAGCAGGGATCTTTTTTTAAAAAAAAAAATCTTTATTGTTGAAAATGTTACATATGTCCCCTTTTTTCCCCATTGACATCTTCTAGCCCACCCTTACCCCTTGCCCCAGGCCTTCACCACACTAATATGTGTGTCCATGGGTTATGCATATGTACCCAACCCGCCTTCTCTCTGAGATTTGACAATCTGTTCCATGAAGAGCCAGGATTTTTTTACTTCACAACTTGGCAACAGAATCTGAACTAACATATACATGGATCCTTGGGTGAATGCATTTGTCAAAACTTATCAGTTAGAATTTGTGCATTTCAATCAGTAAGTGTCACCTCAAACAAAAGCAAAAAAATATTAGACTCTAGTTAATATACATAGCTAAAGTATTTAGAGTTGAAGTGTACTGATACCTGTAATTTACTTACAAATACATAAATAAGACATTAATAAATAGATAAGTATATTAATAAAGAAAATATAGAAAAATATTAACAAGTCTAGAATCTAGGTGGTAGATTATATGGGTATTCATGGCACACTCTTTTTATTTTTCAGTATGGTATGGCCTAAACTTTTCATAATAAGATGGTGGGGGAAAGAATACATGTATTGTGACACATGAAAATTGGCAATATCAAAGTAACAGTTCATTTCTATGATTTTAACTGGTCTAAACTTTAAACAAGTATCTCATTAAATTACGGTAAATGACTGGTGCCTAGAGAGTCAATAATTGGCAAAATAATTATTTAAACTAAATACTTACATTGTGACTATGACAAAATCCAATTCCATTAATAATCTGAAACAAATACTTTTGAACCAGCTGGTAGTCTAGTCCATTTGGAAAGAGTTCCAAGTCATCAAGAATGGTATGGTCAACAAACTCAAAGACTAGGTACCATCGTTTTTTTTTCTTACACACCTCCAACAGATTCACCAGATTTTCATGCCTCAGTTGCTGTTATAAAAAAATGCAAAATAGTTTTTACAACATCAAATGATTAGCAATTAGCGACCATCCAAAATAGATCTTAGCATAAAAAAGACATTTAAATAAAATGCATGAACAGTATAAATTGTAAATGTATATTCTGGTTTTTTTTTTGGTTTTTTTTTAATATATTTTATTGATTTTTTACAGAGAGGAAGGGAGAAAGACAGAGAGTTAGAAACATCGATGGGAGAGAAACATCGATCAGCCGCCTCCCGCACATCTCCTACTGGGGATGTGCCCGCAACCCAGGTACATGCCCTTGACCGGAATCGAACCTGGGACCCTTCAGTCCGCAGGCCGATGCTCTATCCACTGAGCCAAACCGGTTTCGGCTATTCTGGTTTTTAAATTCTAGTTCAAAGACCACATTGCTCTGTTGTCCTCTCAGAGAACACAATAAAACCAATAAGGAAAAGAAATGTAAATGTAACTTTATCTCTGATGGAACTAAGTAGGATCTATGACCCCTTCCCACAACAAATGAGGTGAAACTGCCAAATGTAATCAAGGTCAAACAGGAGTGTAGGAAGACACCAAAAGATTATCTGTGGCCACAAAGCTGGCAGAGCAGAGTTCTCCTAAGTCGGTGACATACCCTGAAAAGGAAAAACAACAACTACAACAACAAAAACCAACCCAAACCTTCTTAAATATAATGGAAACAAGGTTGCAGAAAACAAAACTAACTTATGCTGATTGTAATCAAGATAGTTGTGACCTGAGTGGAAAAGGAAGACATAGTGACTGGAGAAGGTATAAGGGTGGGGGTGGGTGGGGGGCTTCTGGGGTTATTTTCGTGTTCTCTTACTTGATTTAGATGGTGGTTACATAGGTTGTTCAGTTATTTAAATCCATAGAGATATATTTTTATGATATGTATACTTTTCTATATGTATATGTCAATAAAAAGTTGAAAGAAAAAAAAAATCCAGACATAAGAGAACAAACTTAAGAAAGAGCAGCAATTGGACTGACAGCTGACTTCTCAAGAGCCATAATTGGGAAAAAAAAAAAGAGCCATAATTGAAGCCAGAGGACAAAACAATGTTATTTTCATTTTGTTGAAAGAAAATAATTGCCAACCTAAAATTCTAGCAAAAATATCCTTCATAAATAATAACAAAATAAAGACATTTTCATGCAAACTAAAATTGAAATGTTTTATCTACAATATTTCCTCACAAAAGGAAATCCTAAACAAGAAGAAGGGAAGAGATCACAGATAAATAATAAATGCAGAAAGGAAGGAAGAACAAAGAAAGTGGTAAAAATAATCTAAATAAACATTTAAAAATAATTAGATCTTATGATGTTTAAATAGCATAAAAGATAAAAGGGAATAACTAGAGATGATTATTGCAAGCTTTGGAAGAAGGATAAAATTACTGGATACTGTTAGACTTTAACAAATGTCGAGGGTAACCACAAAATGAAACAATATATAATTTTCTAATTATTTGAGGAAAATAAAGGAATGATAAATGTAATCAATCCAAAGACAGAAAGAAAAAAGAAATACAGAACCAGTGAGACAAATAGCATATATTAAGGTGGTATATTTATACCTAAATATATCAGAAACTATATTACATGTAGATGGACTAATTGTTCCAATTAAAATACAAAGATTGTCAAACAGGATGAAAGAAAAATGTAACTACATGTTCACAAGAGACACATCTAAACAAGGACTGAGACGGGGAGCCAGGCAGAAGAGGGTAAAGGAAGGAGAATGGGAGACTTCTGTAATACTCTCAACAATAAAACAAAAATGGAAAAAGATATACTATGCAAACATTAACCTAAATTAAACTAGTGTAGCCTTATTAGTTTCAGCCAAAACAGACTTTAAGAAAAAACATTACTATAATAAAAAGTTATTTCAGCCCTTGCCGGCGTGACTCAGTGATTAGAGTGTTGGCCTATGCACAGTCTGCACAAGGGAGGGTCTTGGGTTCTATTCCCGGTCAAGGGCATGTGCCTGGGTTACAGATTCCATCTCCCTCAGGGCACATGTGGGAGGCAATAAATCTATGTGTCTCTCTCACATCGATGTTTCTCTCTCACATTGATGTTTTTCTCCTTTCTCTCCCTCCCTTCCACTCTCTCTAAAAAAAAAGAAAAAAAAAAAATCAATGGAAAAAATATCCTCATTCCTTAGGTGAGGATTTTAAAAAAGTTATTTCATGATGATAAAAGATTTGATTCAGCATGCAGATATAATAATTCTAAATATAAAATATTAATAATATGGCTTTTCTACTTGTAAAGTTAAACCTTAACTGAACTAAAATAAAAAAGGACAAATTAATAATCACAGATTGTAACATATTTCTTCTCAGTACTGGATAGAACAAGCACACACACAAACAGAATTACTGAGAATTCAGAAGATTTAAACAATGCAAGTAACAAAAGCTAATTTAATGGAATACTTTTCAAGTACATGAGAAATTTTTTGTTGTTGTTTAGTATATTCTGAATCAAAAAGCATGTATCAAGAAATTTCAAAGGAATAACATCTTACATAGTATATACTCATAACACAGGGCAATTATATCAAAAGTAAAAAACCAGGGAAGGAAAATCTAAAAATTTTCCAAATATTTGGAAATCAAGGGAAATAAGAAAATAGTTTGAACTGCTAATCAAAATTTCTGCAATACATGCCAAACTGTTCTGAGAGGGAAATTTATAACTTTAAATGCATAAAGGAGGCAGGGGGAGAGGCTGGAAATAAAAGACATAAGTATGCATTCAACAGGTTAGAAAAAAAGAACTACAAAATAAACCCTCCCAAAATAAGTAGAAGGAATGAAATACTAAAAAACTAAAATGAAATAGAAGAGAAATAAATAATATAGAAGATGAACAAAGCTAAAAGTTGGTTCTTTCTAAAGAAAAATAAAATTAATAAACTTCTCGTGAGAATGATTAAAAAAAGAGGGACATAACACAGCAGGCCTGAGAGTGCTATCCTTAGATAGGTATGCTGCACCTTGGCTGGTACCTGGAAAGCCCTGGCTGGTACCTGGGAACTTGGATTTCAGGAGGGTTCCCTTCATTTCCAGAATTGATAAAAATGGCACGCTGCGCAAACAATATTGTTTATGCTGAATACCTGCATTCCTTCTGGGAGTCTGAAATTTTGGAACAAGCCAGGCAGATATGCCTACATGACAAGTCACCAATAAAAACCTTGCACACTGAGAATCTAATGAATTTCCTTGGTAGACAATATTTCACATGTGTTATCATAACTAATTGCTGGAGGATATAAGCGTGTCCAGCTGATTGACTCCACTAGAAGAGGTTTCTTAGAAGCCTGTAACAGGTTTCCCTTTGCTGATTTTGCTTCCTATCCTTTCAGTGTAATAAATCATGGCCATGAATACAATTGCAGAGTGCTGAGTCCTCCTAGTGAATCACTGAACGTTGGGGTGGTCTTTGGGACCCTCAAAACAAATGATAGCTGGCTAGCTCTACCTAGCTAGGTAGGTAGACAGATAGGTGTGTGTGTGTATGTGTGTGTGTTACTTTTAAAATCATGTTTACGTGCATGATATAAATGAATATACATATGTAATCATTTTATTTGTTTATTGCCAAAAACATATACTTTAAACCTTGTAATATATGAAACAAATACAAAAACAGTAATTTCCCCCAAAATGTAATCTTGATCAAGAAATAACTTATTTTTTTAACAAAATACATATATTTACTCACCTTTAGTAACTTGATTTCTCGCATAGCAATTTTTTTAACCATTTTGTCATCATCACTTTCTAAGAACTTCTTAATGGCTACAATTCTTCCAGTATCTTTATTCCTACACTTCATCACCATTCCATAGCTCCCTTCTCCAACCAATCCTAGGTTCTCATATTTTTCCATTTTAATTCAAAACCAGAAGGATTTTTTTTCTTGCTGTAAAAACCAAAATATAGTTAATAATGTTGGGTATATTAATTTTCTCCACCCTCCCAGCAAAGTAATTCTTCCCAACTTTTTTGCCATATTAGAGCAGTCACTGTGTTGATGGTTCTCCCTTGCTGACTCACAATTTCTTATTGTTTCCAATTTTGTTATGTTTTCAAAATATTCATATTCATTTCATAATAGACAACACAAATATAACTGAAGCCATTAACTTTAAATTTAAATTACTAAATGTCATGTTGATGAAATTCAACATATTTTTAATTCAGATAAAGTAACACTAGAACCACCATACAAAACAATTACAGTTCACTTTAGAAAAACATGATTCCTTTTCACACAAAGGTGAAAAAATCACAAATGAATTTAGTTTTAGTGAAGATCATGTTTATTTTTTATATCAGGATTAAAAGATGAAAATTTTTATACACTCTCAACTCATTGAGGAAGAATATTTGGTCACAAAATGGTCACTTACCAAATGAATACTAAGAACCTTTGTTAAACTATTTTTCTTTATTTTTCTTACTATAGCAATTAAATTCCTATATTGAACATACAAAATAATAGCAATAACATCACAGTACATAGGCAGATTCTAGAAATTAAATATTAGTAGCACCAAATAGAGTATTTCAAAAATCCTTTTAATGATTACTCACTATGAGAATAATCATTTTAATTTTGTGCTTATTAATGTTCTCTGAGCAGGAATCAAACTGTGACCTCCTAGTTCATTGGTCAATGCTCAATCACTGAGCCACACCAGCTGTGTTTATAATTCTTTTCTACTCCCAATTACATGTCATTTTCTGGATAAAGGCAACCTTAATAAAATCTTTCTTACTTTACTAATGATTGATGAAGGTCCAGCAATCAGTCCACTACATATTTTGGTACAGAAAAAAAACAAAAAACTTTTCAGTCCAAATACAGATAGATTTTAATTCATAAGTTTTATTGCAAATTTCCAACTTTATTTTTAAATCTGGTGTTGAAATTAAATTCTAGAACAAAAAATATTCATCTTAATCCCATTATGCTTCTAAAAGTTTAAGGAGGAAAAAATACCTTTAAGTAAGTTTATATTCAAATGATAACTCATGGTTAAATTTTTTAACCTGACAATATAAAAATTCTCAATAAAAGTTAGGGGGAAATATTATCACCTATTACATTGTGTATTTATGGCAATCTAAAGCTAATTTACTCGATTGTGAGTTGTGATGCTTTTCCTTGCTTCCTTATTGGTACATTGATAATAAAGACAATACAAATATCCTCTGTTCTAACAAACTATGATAATCCAATGAGTACATTTTTAGCAGTTTACATATGGTAATTTATATAGGTTCTATTATATAGATACACATGGAACACCAGAAGATTGACCTGGGGGTGAAGGGTGAATGAAAATAAATCCAAGTCAACTGCAACTCAAATTATTTCATTATTTTACGACCAGCCTTGATAGTACTATAAACTGTTTACACAGCAGTGTCCCAACACTAACTTTCCATACATTTGACATTTTTAGCTTCCATTTAATGTCTATCAGCTACTTTCAAATAAAAAAAGTCTGTGTTTGAAAAAATATCTCAACGTTATTTTCTCTCTCCTTTTTAAATAATTTTTCCTTCCACTAAGACAGCATGTTTTTATCAAGGACTAGACTGTAGGTTTATCATGTCAAGGACAAAAATAGATGGAATCTATACCTTGCATCACTTAAAAATATGTCATCTAGTAAGCTAACATTGTGTAAGTTGACTACTCCAAGTTTATTCTTGCAGCCAACTGCACATTTGGTCACAGCACATAGAACACACCCATTTTTCAAGTGGCACTGCCTGCAAATACCTTAAAGGTCTCACAGCTTATTAAGCCTCTTGTTTCCTGAAACAGTTACTCATAAACGATAACTTTTCATGCCTTCTACCCCCAAACGTAAGGGTAATACAAACGAAGCCTGCCCGACTGGCAATGTGGTATTTCTGGACATGTGCCATGTAGGAGTATAGTTCTAATACGGACAAGTTAGATAAAAAATAATGCTAATTTATCTTGTTCAAGAGATTGAAATCTATTGTACATAAAGAGTGAGATCATAGAAGCCTTTAAAAGTAGTATACTTACTGCTTCTTTAATATCCTTTCACGTGGAAAGACCCAAAGGTTTTCAACTCGGAAACAAATTTGAGGTGAAATTCATCTCTCCCGCGGGTCTAAAAAATGCTGACTAGCAAACTAGCAGTTTCAGTGCGGTTACTATTCCTTGTGAGGACACAGTCACGGGCGCCAGGTGAAGCAGAGAGAGGCAGATTGGCCTCGGCCCGCCCCAAGCTCACGCTCAGGAGGACCACTGCCTGCATGCTGCCGTCGTCAAGGCAACGACCTCACTCTGTCCCCAACCATAGGCACAAAGTCTCCAGGGAGAGATACGGCTCAGGTCAGAATGCGTCCACGGCAGGACCGACACCTGCTAAGGCCGAGGCCGGCAGGGAAATCAGCTGGGGTGGGAGGGCGCGGTCTCCCAGCTCGGAAGGTGCCCAGTCCCTGGACTCGGGAACCAGCTGAGCTCCAGCCAGCCCTGGCGAAGGCGTTGGCCACCCAGCTGCAAGGGGGCGGGCCGTTACCCTGCGCCAAGCACCCCGTGTTCTGATTGGCTGATCCCTGTTGTCATGAGCCGTGATTGGCTTAGAGCCAACCACCCTTTCCCTTCACCTGGGGCTCCGCCCGGGTTCCGCTCCCTGACGGCGCGGGTGCCAGCATCTGGACACACCTACATTAAGTAAGGAGACACCTTTCTGCTTTCGCTGAAGACCTCTCCCCGCAGACGCGGGCAGGAGACGATCCCGGTGTTCATGGGGAGGGTAAAAAGAGGGAGGTCATGCAAAGACCTCGAGAATGTGTTCCCCCGCAGCTTCCCCGCTGGGCGGGGGCCGGGCCCACGGCGCCCTCACCCGGGAAGGTTCGGTGTGAGAGGTGGGGCCAGTCTGGGCCAGATGGGGGATGAGGGTGTCGGTCAGAGGTGATGATTAATAGGTGAGGCAAGGTAAAAGTAGGTAGGTGACGACAGAACTTACGTTAGGAGGGACCTTGAGGGTAGCCTGGGCACTGGAAGTGAGGGGAATTGGAGATACACGAATGAAATAAAAGGACAAAAGTGAGGAAGGTTGGGGAACGCAGTATTGGCGTATGGCAGCCAAATTGGGTGCATTTGGGGGGTGGGATCTTTAAGGCACAGACCAACTCCATTCATACATAACCAGGCAACACTGGTAGATCAGAATCATGCACACGCTTAAGTCACACAAGAAACAGGGTTTAGGGTGTAGTAAGGACGCCTTCAGCACTCAGTTATTTTCACGTTGTCATGAAAACTAAACGTTTTATAATCATATTTGATCTCTATCTTGATTCAGTTAAGTGTGTTCTGGATAGCAGATATTTATACCCAGTCAATATTGCAATATTAATTCCTTTTTGTATGCTAAGAAATAAACATTCTGGTTTATAAATAATCCTTTGAGAGTTTGGTTAGCATGAATTAATTTTTCAGTACTTGATCACCTTGGTCAAAAGGCTTAAAAACTAGTTCCTGAACCTGTAATATTAAGGACAAGATCTGGGACCTAGGTATGAAAATAATATAAGTATTTGGTCAATCCAGGATATAAATTTTAATATAGCAATTAGTTCCTTCCTTTGCTGTGACCAAGTTGAAGGGAGCCGTGCCCAATGTTGTTACCTCAGGCTATAACAGAATCTGATAAACTTCTTTTATATGAGGGGCAGATCACCTTTATAAAATGGCAAATCCAGGTTTGGGGGGCCTGAAGCTTGACAAGAAGGCAAAAATATTTTGCTTTTGCAACTTTACAAAAATATTCAACAACAAGCATTTTAAAGGCTCCTCTAAGCAAGAGGCCCTGAAGCTTAAATCCCACAGGCAATCAAAAGGGTAAACTAAAAATATTGGATTTGGCCCCAACTGGTTTGGCTCACTGGATAGAGCGTCGGCCTGCGGACTTAAGGGACCCGGGTTCGATTCCGGTCGGGGGCTTGTACCTTGGTTGCCAGCACATCTCCAGTAGGGGGGGTGCAGGAGGCAGCTGATTGATATTTCTCTCTGTCGATGTTTCTAACTCTCTATCCCTCTCCCTTCCTCTCTGTAAAAAATCAATAAAATATATTTTTAAAAAAATATTGGATTTGGTGAATAGGTAACACTTGAGAAAACAATTTAAAACAGAATTGAGTTTAAAGCCAGCTGTAAAGGAGACAGGGCATTCAAGAATTACACATCCTAGGTAAAGTCATTTACATGTTTGCGAAAGAGGAAATAGCATTATATAGATGCAAGATTAATTTAAAAAACACAGGGAAATCTTTGTAGTGAAGACGAATGGAGAGAGAGGCGTTAAAGAATGAAGAAAAGGAATAATTGATTAAAAAAAACTAAAGACAGGTAGTGAAGAGAAAGTAATTAAGTATGAAAAGGGCTTAGCCTTGAAGAGGTTTAGAAAAAAAGGAGTTTAAAGAAAAACTGAGAAAAGTATTGGACAGACACATTAGCTGGCCTAAATCTTCTCAGGTAAAGAACTTCAGTTTTGCAAAACAGATAATGGTGAGATTAAGTCTTAAGGACTTGAGAGCAGAAATTCCTTGAAATAGGTAGTTATGAGAAAACTCATTTTGATATGAAAGGAATTCAAAATAGTAATATGTGCCCACTTGAAACCTACTGACTCTGTTTCAAGGGACTTGGCATTCCCAAGGACAAGAACGGAGAAAGTAGATGGTAAATTTCCTCTTAGAGAATTTGCAGCACAGATTAAACAAAGAAGAAATCGAGGATGATGAAGAAAAGCACCACTGAAATGGCTTGCCCATAGGTTCCAGCTAGATAGGAAATTGGTTAATAACTGAAAATATAGAGGCTTTGAGGAAGTGGAAGTCAGTCATCATAGGCATGAAGAATAAGTTTAATAGGAGAGAAAGCTATTGTCAAAGAAAACTTGTCAATTTAAGATCTTAGAAATGGCACTATCTTCATCATCTGGGATTCAGTGCTGTATCTCTGAGGATTACTCAATAAACGTTGGAACTAACATCAGGAGCAATATTGGAACCTCCCTTTTGGATTTTGAAAAACAGTAGAAATGTAAAAATATGTAATTCTGTGGTTAAGACATATAATCTCTATGAAGCTGCTGGTCAAGTTTTCTTACCAGGTTTTTTAAAGTATAAGAAACTCCTACCTTAGAATGGCAGCAGAGTTCTCAGCAATTGAGGTTATTATTAACCTTGCCCACCAAAGGCTGTGTCAAATCCTCCTGGTGGGTGGCTGCCAGGGTTTGGCATGAAAGCTCTAAATGACTAAACAAGCAAATAACAACATGATTCTCTCCCACTCCCGCCCTGTTGTAGTTTCCCAATTATCATTTTTGTGTGTTTGCTTGATAAAGTTGTAGCTGGTGGGAGAGAGGGGGAAAATCTTAGAAAAGTGAAAATGTTATAAAAATCTAAAGAAAACAGTATGGGAGTGCACGAGGTTAGCAACTAGAGAGGAGAGCTTGAGAGATGTGTTAAAGAATTAAAGGTTAGAAGAGACTAAGGATCACATGGCCCATTAATTCCACTCCTAGATATATATACTGAAGACAAATGAAAACTTGTTCATATAAAAACTTGTACATGAATGTTCATAGCAGCATTAATATTCATAATAGACAAAAAAAGTGAAACTCAAATGTCCATCAACTGATGAATGGATAAATTGTTAGATCCATACAATGGAATACTATTTAGCCATAAAAAGGAATGAAGTACTGATACATGCTACATGGATGAATCTTAAACATTAAGCTAAGTGAAAGAAGCCAGACATAGAAAGCCACATATTATACCATTACATTTTTATGGAATGTGTGCAGCACAGGCAAATCCTGTGCTGCACACATTCCATATAAAGAAACAGAAAGTAGATTACTGGTTACCAGGGACTGAGAGGGAGATGGGAATGAGGAGTGACTCCTAATGGGTAAGGAGTTTCTTTTTAGGGTGATGAAAATGTTCCGGAATTAGTGTTACACAACTTTTTAAAATAAATATACTGAAACTCGCTGAATTTTACACTTTAAAAGGGTGAATTTTATGTATGTGAACTATATCTCAATTTAAAAAAAAAAGACTACAGGAGGATAAGAAATTTTCAGCCTTCCCAGAAATCTGCCTTTTAAAATAAATGTATGTATTTTGGCTTAGTCCAATTCTTTTACATTAGCAACCATCTCTGTTAAGTGACTTTTGGCAGCAGTCATTTTCTACATATTTTGACATCCCCAATAACGTGCTTGGGTGTTTTGTGCAAAACAAACAAAGGAAAAACCACCTCTCACTTAGGTCCCATGAGATACTGATTAGTCATGGGGGTTTTTGGCATCACTTTGAGTCACCAAGTGAATGGAAAGAGCATAAAATCTTCAGACTACAAAAAGTAAGATTGTTTTCAGTATAGTATATGAAGCATGCAGCTATGAATACATTCTACCATTCTATTAAGAAAATGGACTGATTCACTTTGAAGTTCTGGTTCTTTGATGGATGGACACTTGCCATAGAAAATAGAATTCTGTTCTCAACCTAGTAGTTGATGCAATGACATCATTACTACATTTTAAAGTAATTAAGAAAATTGGAATTTGGAAACCTAAAATACAATATACCACTTATTTTGCCAAATTCAACATACACCAACACATCTATAGCAGCGGTTGCCAACCTTTCGGACCTCACAGACCACTGGTTGGTGATGGCTGATTTATACTATAAGTGTAAACCTTGGAATTCATTTCTTAAATGTTAACAATAGTATACATTGTTTGCACTAGTAACATGCCTCTTTTGAAAAATCTTAACATTCCATCTCTTTCTAGCCTCTATCAGATTCCTCTGTTCATCTTCTTAGCAAAACTACAGAAAAAAAAAGGTGTGTTCATTTCTTACCTCCAGTTCTCTTGGGCTTTCATCCTTATCACTTCACTGAAATAGATTTTCCCAAGTCATTATGACCTACATCCTGCCAAAGCCAGCTGTAGCAGAGATTGCTAGTTACAATAAGCTAGTTCCTTCTTCCTGTGTGGCTTGTTTCTTTTGTGTGATCTCCATTGCAGTTAGGAGGGGCCATGTGACTGAATTTAAGCCACATGGGCACCATTTCCAGTCCTGGTCCATAAACATCTCCATTCAACATTCTCTGTGTTCCTTTTCCCTTTCAGCTAGCTACCGTGGAGATGACTATAGTCTGGGGGAGGAGGGCCAGACCACTGGCCTCTTCATTATCACTTTTCTATTTTTTTATATTAGGGGTAAAAAAACAAACAAAACTATTGTGTCTGAGCCATTAGACATCTTGGGTTCTATTTATTATAGCAATTAGACACCCTAATTAATCCACTACCTCATATGACCTCTCAACAGCATTACTCAACTGCTTATTTCCTTTTGAGATAAACTCTTGAAACTTAGCTTTCCATGACATCAATGTTGTCCT